ATCTGGGTCTTGCTGGAGAACAGTTTGGTCTGTGTGGGAGTAGGGCTGAACTTTGTTGCAACAAGATAACTCTTACATTTGAGAAATTTATTTCTCCCTTCTGGACTCCTGCTCTTCTATAAGCAACAGAATATACTACTGGCAAGGTAGCGACTGACAAAACGATGGGAATTAGGGAAGGTGAAGCAATTCTTGCAAAAGCTTGCACCCCTAATGCCAAAGCAAATATCCCTGCTTGGGGCACCAAGGAGAGCAGAGGGGCTCCTCTCCCAGCAGCACAGCCAAAGAGACCTGCCTATGTTCACCCTGTTCAGAGTCCTCCTCCCCTGTGTGAGAGGATGTCCCAGCGATAGCCCAAGCAGATTTTATGTAAAGCACTTTAGGATTGTCAAGGATGAATCATGCTGTAAAATGTATCATTAATGTTACTAGATGTATCGTAGACTTCTGTGATCTGAGACTGCTGCAGGCAGAGTGCTGGGAGAAAAGATCTCCAGATTGTGCTCATGCAAATCACTGTCTGTGATCACATTCATTCTGGTTCCCACTACAACATTACTTTCACACTCCTGTGTGCTGCTCACTCAGTCTAAACTTTTTGTTATTGCAGGTTGTATGACTACAACATGGCATCTCTTTGCCAACACCTTTACAAGGGTGAGAAAACATACAAATAGGCAAATAGAGGCACAAGAAAAATACTGGATATGCTTTAACTTACCCAGGAAAGGGGTGACATGATCCTAATCCATGCCTCCTGACTCTCGTGTCCCCTAACTGGTTCCTAGATGGGGGCAGATGTCAATTTGTTCAGGGTATTTAGTTGAGTTTATCTTTTTGTTCTGTAACATTTTTTCTTCTGAGCTAGACATATGCATAATTTAGACAAGAGCTGGAATTTCTGAGATGTGGGAAAAGCAAAAGTGAAATCTGACGTATTTTGAGGACATCCTGATTTTACTGTGGACAGTAAATCTTGTCACCTGGGTTAAATTATGCAAACAGTATTTCAAAAATATTTAGGAATAAATGACACAATCACAAAAGAGCAATACAATAGAAAATGGGAGGATGAGCAGACATATCCAAGAAGTGGTTTTCAGACATTGTAAATAAAATGGAGAGTCAAGGCAATGACCAGACGACTGCTGCCAGTGGCATATCCTGTGAGAAGATCCTCAGAACAACCTATTTGGTAATAGAGGGAAAAAGCAGACAGTGCTCTAAAAAATGAGAAAAGCAGGAAACCATGGGCAAATCCTAGCCATGAATTAATCCAACAGAAGTCAAAGCCAAGACATTGTGAGCAATGAGTCATCAGTAAAAGGGCACTTGCATGTAACATATGGGTTCAGTTCACAGGTACCCAGTCTGCTTTTTAAAATTAAAATTTTAAATATGTCAAAAATATTCAGTGTTCAGAAGAAAGTTAAAAAAAAAAAGAAGCTTTCAAGATCTCAAGTCTGTATTTTGAATGTTTGGCTAATACATCAACACAGGATGGCTTGCCAAAAATATTAAAATACAACTAAAAAGATCATAAATTAGTAAATTGTCAAGTATTTTTAATATGTATTCCCAATGCCAGACATTTATAATTGTAAAAGCAGGTTACCTAAATAGTAAGTGCCAGTTAGTACACAGAAAGCTCAGCATAGCTTTACTTTAACATACAGAATAAACCAGGTTTGCTTCAGCAAACTCATTATGAAAGAAGTAACAAAGATTTAGCTTGGGCATGTGAAAAGTTTCTGTATTTTAAGATTTCAGTGTTCATTTACAGAACTATTATATCGTGCAGTATAAACCTTTTAACAAATCAATGCATTCTTTTATTTGAAATAAAATTTTTATTCAATCACTGTATTTTGATAGACTAAACTACTGCACATAGACAGGAGATAATGAATTGAACAGGATGCCCTTGAAGGAGAAGAGCTGCTTCAGATCACCTTTCTAATACTCGTTAGACACCCTGATTCCAATGCCCATCAGACTTCTAAAGCTAAGAGAAAAGATGCACCCATGCTATCTGGTGTAACAAATCAGCTCCTGAATCACCTAGCTATAAAACTCACAGGGGAAAAAAATTATATACATATATAATCTTTACTTAAAATATCTCAATGTCATTTTGAAATCTATTTAGGAAGATCAGCTCTGGTGCCTTTATGGCAACTTAGCCATGTGCATTGTAGAGGCTCACTGGTACTGGAGCCATTCCCTGGGTTTTGAAATGAGTAAAATGCAAAGTTATTAAATCAGTCTAGGTCTTACAGTCTCATTTGGTCAGTTCACTTTAACACGCTTTCAAGCAATTAAAAAAATTGATATACAGAGATTTTTAAAGGAGGCAAGAGACAAAATTTCACTGACAGAGAACTATAACAAGACATAGATTTCTTCTGAAAAAAAAGGAAGAAAAGATGTGTAAGCCATATTCTAACACTTGTTATAGCAGAGAAAAGAGAGATGAAAACCTCAAGTTACATTTTAAAAGACATTTCACAAGCTATTACATAGTCCTTCAGTGTTCTGACCTAGATCAGCCAACTTTTTGTGTCATAATATGCATACAGAACATTTCCCTGCAGGCTTATTTAAAATCTCAGAAACAGTAGAATTTGTGTGTGTGTGTGTGTATAAAGTCCTTAAAACCAGTGTCTTAGTGCAATATATGAATTTATAGCCTCAAGAGTAAAACCTGCTGGGGTTAACACTCAGCAAAGCTACCAGTGAGAAAAAAAACTAAAACACAAACCCTACATCTATAAATTTCAAGTATTAGATATCTTTCTCTCTTTTTTGCTAAAACACGTGTGTGTGTGTGCACATGCACACATCTCCCCACCCCTCATCTTCAGCTAGCACTTTCGTTATAAAGAAAGTGAAAAAGAGCTTTGTGAAACAGCCTCTTCACCGCAGGACTCAGTAATTATGATGAAAGTTTGGCACCATAAGGCAGATAAAATGGTATTATGTTATTTCTGTCTATTATGAAAGTCTTAGGTCTCGGTAGGGAGCAGCACTTTACTCACCTACCTTGCATATCAATGTTGAGCAAATTGCCTTGTTCATACTTGAAACACCACAGACCCAGCTTACAGCTTTTGTCACACCACTCAGAAGCTGCATGAAGCCGCTCAAGGAGGAAAAGCCAGCAAACTATTATATTTTAGCTATTCACAAAGTAAACCTGTTGAAGTTCTACTTGTCTCTTTCTGTTGAGGAAAAGAAAAAAAAAAAAAGATGACACTGTTTTTCAGACCAATGCATCCTGTTAGCATTTTTCAATGCACCTCTACTGGGGAAAAGAAGGATAGTTTAAGTCACAAATCTTGCAGGATAACTTTCAGGAAAAGCTGGTTCCTTTGGGAGCAAACATCCTGTCACCTTAAAATATGCAGTACAAAAGTACAAAAGCCAAGATCAATGTGTTTTGGTATCTTTATTTTAAACCCAATATGAAAAAAATGACTGCTACAGGAGACACAATCAAACTTACACCATCTATTGGCTTCCATACATACCTATGAAAAATAAAGCTTCATCCTGATCCCTCTGTGTCCTTCTCTTGTTTCAGTCCAGCTTGTGTCTCTGGTCTGTGGGCACTCCGTACTGAGAGAAATAAAATACTGGTATTTCCTGGGGAAGTAAGAAAATGATGTATCCTTCTAAGAGTAGAATTCAAACAAAACAGGCACATTCAGGTATTAACAAGTTCTTTTCTGACTGTGTGAAAAAACAAGGATCAGATATGTTTAAATATAACCTAAAAATGATACTGTATGCTAATGAAATAATTTACTGTTAACAGATTCTTCCTTTTTTCTTAAGAAATTTAATACATCCATAGATTTATACACTAGTAAATAAAAAGCTCTTTGCTTTCTGCCTCCCAAAAATACTTGAATAACTGTGAAAAAGTAATTCTTATTGAAGAGGGTGGCAGCTCTGCAATATAATGATGTAATAGTAAGGAACAATAACATTTAACTCACTATTTTCAAGTAATGATCAGCATAGTAAGCTGGACATGTAAAGCATCTAACAGAGGAGGATCCTTTCATCTTCAGTCTCTGGTTTCATATCAGCGGCTGCCAAGTGCAGGTAGTAGGTAAAAAAAATGCAGGTGGAGTCCACCTCTTAGTCACCCCGATGTAAACTTACTGCCATGCTGTTGACACTTGTGGAGGTATCTCAGATATATGCTGGTGTGAGAGAAGGACAACTGGAATGCTGGTCATGTAGCTCCAGTGCTCACACACCGGAAGAGAAGCAATGAGAATGCTAGATGTAGAACACAGTCAAGGCAAAGGTGTGATACTCTTTCTTGAAGGTTCAACTTTATAGCCTTTGCCTGAAAATAAGATTTTTCTACAGTGCCCTACTGCCTTAAGCATAGTCCAAAAGGCTTTCTCTGCTGTACTGATCTTGTATCGTGTTATGAGTAAAATATCAGTTGCAATGAAATCAATAGGAGCTTCACCTGAGTGTGTCTGAAAACTCCTGTTGGTTTTCTGGAGAAGACTGAAGCTCTTGGGCCTACTGGTAGCTCTTTAATACATTTACCAGATATAACACAAGAGGATACCCACTATTGCTTCAGAAAGCAGGATGGCAAATCCTACAGTCTGGCCTTCATCTCTTATTATTTCTTTTGGTAAAATGTGCATCCAGAATACTCTTCTGAATATTCTTCCCTGATGCAAGAAAATGGTTAAAATCTGGCCACAAATAATGCCCTCATAAGTTGGCCAGAAGTCAGTAAATTCAACACAGAATTGAAAGGGATCAAGTCTTTAAAACAGTACTGGAGCTAATGTTCTGGTTTCATCTCCATCCAAAAGATCTGATGTTATAATCAGTTTATTGTAAGCAGCCCTAAATATGTCAGACTTTTGTGAACTGATGTGATCGGAGCAACTGACATCTCCCAAGAGCCACCTGCTATTACCAGAACATATCTAAAAATAAGTGAGAAAAAAGCATATTATTTTGAAAAGAAACCTTTATTGTTCATTGAAAGTTGACTCTTGTCACATATCATGAGGCATCATTAACAAGCTAAATATGACTTTGCTTAAATCAAACAATATTGCTTAATGAAAGTATCCAAAACAGTTATGATCAATTCCTTCCTTTGTTCTTTTTTGGATGGAATGTGTGTTTTGATATCAACTCATCTCTTTTAAACAGCTAGCTTAGCCAGCATGTTATATGAATAACTTCCCTGCCAGGTAGATCCAACACGGGTACTAAGATCAGAGCTGGGGTCTTCTTGTCCAAATATTTTTCAAGGTATTCTTGCAGTCCTAAAAAAAGAAAGAAAGAAACAAAAAAATTGAATCCTCTTCGTCTCATTTTATGTTGTGTCTTGTCTCTTAGACACGTTTTTTTAAATAAGTTTTTGAAAATCATTTTGGTGTAGAAATTAACAAAAGGAAGTGAAATGCATCTCTGCTTTCACTTTATGTAGAAGGAAGAACCATCATCTCCCACCTCTTCATCGACTAATTTGAGATTGACTTTACACATTGCCTAAGGCCACAATTCAGCAAAACAGTTAAAAGCATGTTTCTCAGTCCTAGGTGGGTGAGTGGTCTCTTGATGACAGATATAGCAAGCTGAAACTAAATGCAGGTAGTAAAAATAACTAAAGGCAAATTAAAATTCAGTTATTTGTCATTTTTGATATTTGGATGAACAGCACGTATTTGTCTGTAAACAAAATCCTGCTCTCAAGTCCCACTGAGGTGCATCAATCTACTAGAAGTTAAAGTGGGCCATTTTTTAAAACATTACAAACAGGTTTTCCATTTGAAATCAATAGGAGTATGTCACATTGAAAATTTAATGTAGGAAGTCCAGGGATGGCAACATATATGACTACATCTCTGCTAAAAACTCAGAATCTGGCTGTAAAGAGCTCTAAAGGGACTGGTATGTGTGGCAGAAGTTTGTAAATTTAAAGTCCATTGTGGGAAAGGAAGTAATAATGGAGAAGATTTGATTAGGAGAATATGGATGAGTCAAGAGTGTTACCCTATCCAGGATAAAACAGAACTTCACAGTTACATTCGCTGAAGCCAAAACCCTTCCCTCTTGCTACCTGGCAGCAGTGGTATAAATTAAAGTAATTATGGCAATGCTACCTATGAAACATTGCAAAGGCAGTATCACTCGTCTAAAATTCTGCTGACTTCGTTTTGTATTAACATCATAAAAGGTGAAAACAGACAAGGGTGAGCCAATGATCCACAGTCACCTGAAAAGTCAAAGGACTTCTTCATCTTGTGTGCAAAAAGGGACTCAGTACTGCAGATATTCACCAGTGCCCTGATAATTAAGCATCAGACAACATTTTCATTCTAAAATTTGACTTCAAAAAACTGTAGAGCTATGCTGGTTCAGAAGGCATTAAGCGGAAGTGGGTAAGGGCAAGCCACTTCAAAAATCACCAATTCTACCCTATTAAAATGACATTTTCTTTTTTCCCCTGAATTAACATTGTAAAAATATAATTTTAATAATTTTTTTCCACAGCCTTAAAAGCTGTGGAACAGTGCTAAAAGCTATCAAAACAAAACCAAGTATTTTGAAAATATTACTTTCAAAGGGACAATTTGAAAGTAAGCCTATCTGGAAATATAACTCCATTCTTTTGAAGGTTTTTTGAGGTGACCCAAATAGACATAAATATTTACATTTGAACATGCCCTAGAGGACTTGGTTGCCAGCCAGAAAGAGCCACCTTTCTATTACAAGTGCAAACTGCTGCAGGAAAGCCTATACATATAATAGAAATGTGGATGAAAATCTGGGGCATATGTCTTTAAAGATTTTACTGTGCTTATAAATAAAATAGTTTGATATGAAAACATGCTACCTTAGACATGCATTCTTATACATTTAAAAATTGTGGATAAAAGTCTACTCATGCAAATTTCCTTGGAAGAGAGGAGACTGGGTCTTCTAAAACAGTAAAATTATACTCTAAGATCCCACAAAAGACAATGAACAATTAGTAAATCTGTGTCAGCCTATGTAATCATAGCTGACACAGTCCAAAAATTGATAGCTCTATATTTCACCTGCTATAAGTTACTCTAAATCCTCTGATACTAGTATATTTTTAATGATGTGACAGTAATAAAGACACTGTATTTTTTCACTCATGCAAATTATGCTTTTAGATAAATAAGAGCGTCAGTCATGACTGTGAATGGTTTGTGAAGTACGTAACTCTGAATATAAAGATTTCTAAAATTTCTTTATATAACTTACGGAATTGCTTGCTCAGTGGCATGTCGTACTTATAAAAAGCATGACATAAAGCTGGCTGATTAGCAAGCAGTAAACAAGTGGTGTGTATTGTGCATGTTTGCATTTCCTCTGACAGTCTGCATTAACTATTATTTCTACATGAAAAGTGCTGAAAGCAGGTGAGCTTCATCCTTTAAAATGGATCCCTGCTACTCCCAACTGATCAGCAGAAGTTCAGGGCACAGGCTCCATACAGAGTTTCTTTCTGCACTGCTATGCATTTTTCTATTGACCTGGGTACAGCTGAGGGATATGGACATAACCAAAACTTAAAATGAACAAAAATAATTCAAAGTCTTTCTCTATCTCACCAAACTTTCTGGTATTACAATCTATTTCTGTCATTCCTCTGTAAGGACAGAGCTCAAAAGTTTCATCATCTTCCATGCTGACTTACCAACCCTGCCATATAACATAGCACAATCTAACACCATAAGCTATTGTTTTTAAAGGTGCTTTTCACACTAAGTAGATAAAAGAGTGCCCTAGGAGCCCCTAAAGGGTCATTCCAAATGATTAGGAAGACAATTTTTACATCTGTCATTGG